CGCGAAGATGATGCCACTCCTAGTATAGTCACAAACGAACATGATCTGCACGTCGATGTTCTTGGCCTTAGTTGATACAGCCTCGCTTTCAAGTTGCTTGATGTCCTTCTGGTTATCCACATACATCAATATGGGGAAGTCCGGCGCAATGCCGCTTTCACATACAAATTCCCTGTAACGAGCAATTCGCGTGATGCTATAGAAGCATTAACAAGTAAGGCATTCATAGTTGACAGTAACGCACCGCCCTGTTTTTGCTCTCCAGCTCACTGTCATGCCGACTTTCAAATTGACCCTTCCAGTCAACGAATTGCGGTCCTTCTTGTCACTAGCGAAGTCTGCGTCGCTGTAATACTTGAGAGTTGAAGTGTATATATCTTGGACTCGTACCTAAATTTTCATCTATCGTACTCGCGCGCATTATAAGTAGCGAGAGAATCCCTTCGCCACTTTATAGTCGTCAACGCGTAGCTAATGGGTCTGGCGCGTCACTTTATGCACTGTTATAGTCACAATTGGCCTATTACAACGCGCCACTCAGATTAGATTCCAAGCAAGCAACTGGAATTCTTGATTTATTGACTTGCAAAATTGCCTATCTTTTAAAACAGCACGCCGTCTTCATCTCGCACCTCATAACATTTTCCTCAACCGGAGCAAGAATTAAATTACGTCATGAATTCCGTGTTCGCAAAGTAAGTCCTTAATAACTTCCTCCCGATCCAAAACATATAAGGCATCATTTACAAATCCCACTCTTATACACAGAATCTTTTTACGCGTACGAATTTATTAATTGATACCGAACCAATACTGGTTTTAAGTTTTTTTGATTGTCACAGCGCTATCGCTGGTCGCAAGCAAATCATCGACATGCACGCCGATTACGATAACATCTTCACCATTCTTCTTGCGGTACAGACACATGTGGGTTTGCAACACGTGTATCGAAATTAGCCTATGTGATTTGCGTGTGTAGAAGCTGACTCCAAAGTCTCTTTGCTTGCCATAAGCCGTACAGGCTTCTACGCAGCAAAGCACCACAGAAATTATTTTGTCTTGTGCCGAGACTCTTAAAATGTATTGCACTAGACTTACATGCCTCGACCAGTTTGCAGGTAAATGTATAGGTGCATTTCTTTGTCCTCCTTGGTATAAGCATTGTATAATTCCGTGCTTCGTCGGAACCTGTCACGTTGCTGCAAGTGCTAGTTCCCCCTTCACTATTGTTATCTTCATGACGGCAGCGAAGGTGATGGTGTAGTCTAGACCTGGGACTTGCTCGTTGTCGCACGAATCCCTCCTCAATTAAAGCATCTCTAAGTCTCCCTGCGTGTCTGATTTGGTTTTAAAAATCCATTTCGTATGTAACACGTTGCAATTGTCCGGGTTTTTAATCAACTTGCACACATTTTTTCTTAAAGGACTGTCATATCTCCATACAAATTTTGTATTAGGCCTCACGCATGAAGCTGCTTATATTCTTTGTCACGTACCTATTATGTGCGACAAATTGTAGTCTGTAGAAGCGTGGTCAGTGTAAGCACTCGAGATAAGTTCCTTGAAAAAATAAAGCATGGAGGGTAAAACTCCCGTTACTTGAGTAGCTTGTGCGTCGAACTCGTTTTCTTTGAGTCGCGTTGTTTAGAAATGCGCCAAATTGTTTTTGAGTTCCTATCGACGATTACTTACAACCTCCAAAACTGAAGCCGAATCCTCCTGGTAGCTGGCTATAAAAACACTTCATCAGAATTTTTTGCTTCGCATTGAGCGTCTCAATTTTCTAGACGTGCTTTGTCGTCACCACCTTGTCTTACTTTTGTAAAATACACGAAATCACTTGATTTCGCTACTTTTTATAATGAAGACCCCTATCTTGATCGTGCACCAACGAATCTATCTGTCGGTCCCTGTATTTAGCGCCAATGCCTTCAGGCACGACGATCTCTCGAAGATCGGGGGCTTTCATCTCAAAATTTCGATTGGCGATGCACGTCCTGTATTGGATTGCGTCGGACTTAAATTAGAACGTTAGCCGAGTACTAAGGGCTCCCCTAGAGCTTGATATGGCGCTGAAGATTGAAGATCATGCTGAGCGCTATATCAAGTATCGTCTAATGGATGCGCTTAGCATTGCCGTTGGACGCCTGGTTTTGCACTTTGCTGAATTTTCGCGCATTTCCGTACGCTAGCAGAAAAAACCGAAATCCCTGTATTCGCCGCATCCTTCCGTTCGCAATATGTGTATCCTACACTTAAACATGCGCTTAAAATTGTATAATGAAAGCCTTGGATCTTTTCGCGGCCTTGAGTTTGGTCGGTGCCAGAAAATGCGGCAGTAGTTCGACTTGTGGTCGACGAAGTTAATTAAGTCGTGATATCCAATTCGATCTCTTGGAGTTATCGGACCTTTCGGATTTCTATCAAATCACTCTGCCTATACTATCGATGAGTGTGTGTTTTCGGGTGTCCATCCAAGACTGTTTGATCTTCGTCTACTTCCGTTCAATGCATGAATACCAAAAATATGTCGTAGTTCTTAATCTTCATACCTGAGCCAGTTGTGTTGTCCATTTGTTCGATCGTGCCAAGAAACAGGTGTCTCATACGTGCATGACAGTTCAAAAGAGATCCGCTAAGCACAGCATGCTTGTTTTTGCGTCAAGAATCACGTCCATCGAGCATCTTCTGTTACACATGTTCTACCGGCGTCACTGTTTTGAACGTACAGCACGTTTTGTCTGCATGCTGATGCCAAATGCGATATACCAATCACTGCGTCGCACTCAGGAGCGACCATATCCCCTGTAGACGATCCAGAATCATTTTTGATCAAGTTTCCCGTATGATACGACGTCGCGCACAAGCTGCGCTGCTAGATAGACATCGGTTAGAGTAGTTCGATCTATCTTTTTTGCAACGCTGAAAAGGACGCTCCCAAATCATTGTGATCTTGAGAGAATTTCCGCCTACCATCGAGATCTTGTGGTATCACTCATCAGCGTCCTGCATCATTGAAAATCGCTCTTTAAGTGCCTACTTGAGCCAATCTCCAAGATTTAGTCACTTGATTGACGTCTTCGGCATCTTCGACAGCATTCGCGGACTCAGTCGGCGCCCTGTTCTTTAGCCCATCTTGGGCCACGTCTACGAGTTTTGTTGTCTCATTGTTTAAGAACCAAGTCGCTATCGGTAGTCTTCATGTTGTTGCCAACGGTTTCTTTTCTTCTCGACCCGGCAATCTACAGAGATGTGTTCTGTCTTGCCACACCCTTAACATATGCATAACTATTTGCGCTAAGATTTAGCCTCGACATGCGTCCAACCGATCTCCTTTCAAGCTTTAATTGACGTCGCAAAATGCGTCAATTCTTTACATATTTAAAGCAATCAGTCAATGTGGGGTCGCACTTTGCTGGCATCACATTTATGAGCTCAGAAGAAGCATGTTAGACAAAATTGTCTAAAATTAGCGAGTCTACACCTCCCCATGCATCACTTACCGCGACTTGGTACAGGAAATGCTCCGCCCGTGACCTTTTTGCGTCTTTCGCTTGCGAAACAATTTTCATAGACAGCCCAGCGGTGATCTTCGTCTCCAACGTCTACAACAAGCATCACATCACGGAATTATAGAGTCAGGTTTAGGTTTCACCAGAAATCAATTTGCTTATGGTCGTACCTTTCGGCTGTAACGGCTTAGGTAGTGGCCTAGCAGGTCACCTTGACGTCTTCACTTCACCAAAAATCGCACGATGCTTTGGCCAAGTTGTGTAGCGTAACGCAATCTTCTCCTGATTATAGAACCCGGATCATAAGCCACGAGATTACTCTGATTTGTCGAATCTACAGATCGTTAGCTTGCACTGAGCTGCCGTCGGTGACGCACAGTTCAGAGATTCTTGCTGCTGAAGTGGAGCTGCTGGGTTTGCCACTCAAGGAAGAGCCTCGTTAGCAGGGGCACGCCTCTTCTTTGTAGCATATACGGCATCGAAGACCGCTTCATAAAAGATGCGAACAAGAAGCCTACGAGTTCGGGTGACGGTCCTGGCGCCCGCACTTCACGAGTCGCTAATTTCCGCTCTAGTGACATTCTTAGCGCGTCGATTGTCATTGTCCTTGTGCCCATATTTGTGCCGATAGCCGATGCAAACAAGCCTCTTTCTATGACAATGCGCATACGCTCATCCTCGTCAATGTACATTTGTGAAGTTTTTAGCTTCTCTATGCGGTCCAACAGGGTGGCGAGCGCCGCAAAAATTTTCTTCGGTAGCCGAGCTTCTTTCGTGAGCTGGCGCGTCTCTAACGACAGCCGCGGTGCTCGGCGGAATAGAAGCGCGTCCTGGCTAGGCAGCACGTGACGGCAAGCCCCTTGCGTGACCTTCTATTTCTGGCACGGCCTTGGTGTCGTCTTGTTCATCCATTAAGCTTATAACCTGTAGAAGATTGGTAATGTGCAGATGAGGGCAAATTTGATTCTGTTATGTTTGTCCTCATGAGCACCTTTTCTTCTCGTCAACTTGCTCCTAGCCATGCTTTCTATACTACCTTCTTCTCTGTCTATACCTGTATTTTGTTGCAACTTGCAACCGTTTCCCGCACATCCACACCGAGATCTGATAGCCGTTCTACTACGCCCACCAACCTTTCTGGAAGATCCAATTACTTCCACCGCCTGACCTCACCTTTTTTAAACGACAGATGTAGTATGACTGCACTCATAATGAAAAATTAAATATCAAATAGGTAGAGCCAATCGTTTCTAGTTACACTTTATCTTCCCGATCAATTGCCTGATAAAAGATGAATGGTCCCAAGCGCTTAATTGCGTTTGTAAACCCTCTATCCTTTTCTATTTCGGAAAAAGTGGAGATCTGCTCTTTTTCCCGCTCACACGACGTATCCATTTAGTTTCGGAGGTCTCTTCCATCGACAAATTATGCACACTTCACAGACAAAATTACGCAACGCAATTATTGCATTGTGACTTCATCCAAAGTATGACTTCCAGCACGCCCAAGCCGCCAACTCACGTGACCTTTGAGACGACAGTGGTGCGCGATTCCGCATATGGACAGTGAAAGATAGACCACTTTATCCGGAAGTGTGCTAATCTAGCAATAATTGATGGACAGGGTGATTTTACCATGGAATTGTACTTGGAACACGCCCCGAAAACCTGCTGGAACATTGCCGAGTTGGCGCGTCGCGGCTACTACAACAACACTATATTCCACCGCGTTATCAGAGACTTTATGATTCAAGGAGGGGACCCCACAGGCACAGGGAGAGGCGGCGAGTCCATTTACGGGTTGGGAGTTGGATCTGTGAGATTTATTGTTATATTTGCGGTCTCGTTTGTGACTTTTCGACGGGTTTTAGGGCAAAATTTGACGATGAGATCTCAAAAGAGCTCAAACACACTGGAGCTGGTGTGCTTTCGATGGTACAACGACAAATTGATTGTATCCGAAATCATGTGACGCTTGTTTTTTTCTTGCTCATTTTGTTGCGGTCTCTTCATAGGCAAACTCTGGGCCGAACACAAACGGCAGTCAGTTTTTCATTACGCTGGCGCCGACGCCTTGGCTCGATGGTAATGCGATTTGTAAGTGTGGGCTGCTGATTCTGGCTGCGTCTCTAACTGCAATTTTTGATTGAATGGTGAAGGCAAGCATACGGTGTTTGGTCGGATCTCGTCGGGAATGAAGGTGATTAAGCGCATGAGCATGGTCCCTACAGGTGCTGACGACAGGTGGGATACGATGGTAGAGGCTGTAAGTTCGTACTGAAAGAAGTTGGGTCTAATTAATTGCCGCTGTGTTTGTTGCTGACGGGTTGTCCGGTAAAGACCTCGCGAGGAGATTCACATCAAGCGTGCGTATCCATTGTCCCAATAGACTTGACAGGACACATGCTGGACTCAATCGTGTTTTGCAAGAAGACTTGAGGGAGCTGAAGACAACTCATGCTACAGATGGATAGTTCTTTCGCGTATGATTCACGCTATAAATGCAGGGTTTATACTTCTTCTCAGTTTCTGTTTTTATCTGGCGAGGTGTAAGATCATCGGGTCATAGTGTGAGAAAGTAAGTCGTTGCGCATGTAGACAGTTGTGCGCTGCGCGTAAAGACAAGTATCAGCTACGGGTGTGGCAAGGCCGGACACGTCGAGGCTAATTGTCGGAGCAAGAAGACTTGTTTTCGACAACAACCCTTGACGTATTCTTGTGTCTTTTTGCAGTGAATATCGCAAAGTCTTCATCGAGGCATATGGGACTGGTTTGTGTCGATGCGGGTGAGTGTTTGGACTCACTATTACGTCGGTAAAGGCCTCGCGTGACCGTATGATCTTGCCGATCAAATGAAAAAAAAAGTGGTGTCGTGCCAAATGAGCTAGTATGCTGCAGGGCTAATCGATTAATTTACGCCTACTTAAGCATAACGTGGTGCTGCCACATCATTAATACTATATGCAGTGGTCGTAACGACCGAATACAAGATTGAAAATTAATGACCGGTTCGTGTCTAAAAGCTTGGTTCTCTCGCAGTCAATTTTTCAAAGCAAGCAACACTTCACAGTGACGTCGAAGATTACATGTATATCGATGTGTATTGTCAGGAGTCTGGGTAAATATCCGACTGCCATCCAAAAAGCATAACAACGCAGGCATAATGGTGTTCTCTCATTCGCTGCACCACGATACCAGAATTTTCAAAGCAACAGGTCCGCATCGCCAGTAGGACCGTCGATTTATTACCGTACGTGATGAGGTAGACCTCCAGCTATGGCCATTAACGTCCTACGCAACGGTTGACGCCCAAACCAATGTTTTTGCCTGTTGTTGACTGCAATGGTCGTCTAAATTTGGACGCATTAGGGTGCGATGGAATTATAGTTGCAGACTCCTGTCAGCATTAATTTATCAGCGTTTATAACGCAAGCTAGACTCGCTCTGTCAATGGTACGTTTTATTATTCCATTAAAAATTTGGCGACGGGGCATCTATCGTACGCCTCATCTACCTGTTACAGCGTTGCATACACTATCATGACCTTTCAGACTATAAAACTATCGCCTGGCACTCGAACACGATGATCAGAATCGTAAAGACTTTTGCCGCCAGACGTTTCTAGAGTATGCAAACGGTGGTCCACTTCAGAACGTATGCACTGTGGTCTTCGCGGATATAAGTTTGGACTAAGACGTTCTTGATCGGCATGTGCACCTTTGCTTTTACACTTATTCTCTTGTTTTACGAGAAAGTCATCAACCATAAAGTGACTACAATGCTTCTTAAAATTTGACTCGTTACACCAAGCCGATTGACACAATACAATGTCAGTACATCGATGATGCTTGCGCTTGACAAGCAGCACACGAAGAGTTTTCATCGATTGAATATTCGTGAATTACGCACCCAACAAAAATTACTGATTTGGATAGCCGGACGTCAATCTCACATCTCAAGACAATTACGGTACTGTTGCCGGAAATCTACGACAACTTGAGCCAACAAGCACAGTGGTTGTGTATTCACCACCACTAACTATCACGTTTGACCATATTCAGTGATCTTGCTTTCTGAGCCCTGGTAACAAAACATACGGAGCCGTTGAATGAATAAAGCCACTAATTTTCGTTTAGCTCTCGTAAATGGTAAAAAGCTATCAAATTTTATCCATTCTCGCAATGTGATCTGTTGTGCGCATTCAACTCTATGTTGATAGCTCCTGCATCATGAAAATACCAATATAGCGGTCATCGTCGTGTAAGAAAGATCGCCGAAAAAGTGTTGATCACCTGTGTAAACGAAATGGCGTTTTGGACAACACTGATCTTTATTTTCTACTTGTTCACATGGACCGCATTTGGTTAGAGCTTGCACTATATTGATCGCTTGCTTTGATCAATGGAACCATGCCGTTTGTATCATAGCTAATTACTAACATATTTAAAAGCGTATAAGTAATCCATTCGACCTTGTGGAGAGCACAATGTAGCGCATAATCTGCCATAAAATAGTACTTTTCCGCACCCCTTTCACTAGGCTACGACGAAGGTATGTTCCACTATTAGAAAAGCAAATGATAGGCTTGCCTGAAGCCAACATCAACCTCACTTGCATATACCAGGCCACAGTTATATCTTGCAGTGTTTTCACAAAAGGTTGGGTCAAACATGGATTTATCACATTTATGGGGCGGCAAGAATGGAGTGAAATGGTCTACTAAACGTCTTTGCGAACAAGCTCTTCCTTCAATAAATTATAAAAAAAAACATGATCGGCTCTATACACCTGCCTACTTGCACCGTGTGTGCGGTCGTTTCGCTCGCGTTCTATGGTTAACGTGTAGCATTGGCATCTACTGTAGGTATCCTACCACTCGATACTCAGTACGCGTTCACTTTATCATAAATCTACCCTTCATTTCTTCTTTGCAGCCTTCTTTTATTTAGGAAAGCTTTTGCTTTTGCTCGCTATGTGAACGTGCAAAAAGCGTGTCGCTCAGATGCGCAGGGCTCTAATTCAATATAATATTAATAGATAGAAGCAAAGGAGGCGAAGAGTTTGAGGAGCAAAAATGAGATTGGACAGTATGCAAATTCTACGTGTCCTTACATGAGATCAAATCTGGAAACAGGCCCGAGACAAATTATGTGTTCTTTAACCGTTTTGTAGTGAAACTGGCGGCTAGCGTGCGAAACGACGACCTACCGGAGGTGATCGGTTTCATTATTCTGCTAAATAGACCGCTACTTTCAAATAAGTTTTTGAATCCAAATTACCTACATTTTTATCCCTTTTTCATATTTAGGGGATGTTTTACCTGTGCACATTTTACTTTTTGGGAGGACTCGGAGATGGCGTATCTGTAAAGTCTAAACGTCACGCTTTTTTATCTTCTGTTTAATTTGCCTCTGTTTCTTTAGAAGCTAACTAATTAAATATAAAATATGATCAAAATGTATTACTATTGTATTTAACAATTGACCCTGTTCTTTTTATTAAATTACCTTATTAAATAAATGGGTCATTGCATAATACGACAACTCCTACAAAATCAGGTGCTAAATTTAGAGCCATCCATTTGATGTTACCGTTATCACATTCAACCATTTCACCGGCTTTAATTTTAATTTTACCATAACATCTAGCAATACCATCACTTTTGATAGAACAATATCTATTTCTTGTAAACTTCTTCATCACGTTTTTTTATACTTAATGATCTAAAACCATTTTCAAGTTTTTAATTATTAGCACATTTGATTGACAGCTAGAGCGTATTTTACTTTAGTTATACGTAAAACCTCAGCTTTATTCAAGAAAGAAGAGGACCTAACGTTGAAGGTACTCTTTGTTTTTGCAATCTCCAGCTGGTGGATTACAATTGTTCGTGAAAGAAACACTTTTACTTAGTAATGCCTTGTAGTTTATTTACTTTTGCTCCTGTTTTACCTTTTTTAAGCTTATTTGTCGGTCGTTTAGGCAGCCAAGGATCACAAAAATAATTTTCTATGCAGGGAAATAGTTTGCCTTTCTTGTGGGCGGGAAATCAATCAGTTGTGTTTGATTAATTACACAGTGTAAGTGGGTGTGTACGCATCAAAAGGTGTCCCTATCAATTTAATCTCTAGTAATTTGAAAATATTAGCTTAACGATATTCCAATCGATACGAATTCTAGGTCGACCATAAAAAGCCGTCGTTTTTTTGCAATTTACGTTACAACACTCGTCCTTAATGCTTTTTTAGGTTTTACACGAGTTCGACTGACCTACCCCCAGTTTTTATCAGAGTGATATCACATACGACTAAATTTTTAACCATGCACACACGGCATCACTAAGATACTGCCAACGCCATTTTTGTGATACTGCACGAATGGCTCAACACGGTTCGTACATTGTGATGCGCATTCCCACTTCAAAGTGTCGACAATCTCACTTAATGATAGGTGTTAGTGTGGCGAAATGATGCGGTAATGACTCCGTCAATAAACAAAGCACACGAAAATTTACCCACTTCTCCCGTGCGCAGATCTTCTAAAAATGATGCTTCCGCTGAAAATATGATAAAGGGATAGCGCAGCGAGACCGGCGCAAAAAGGCACCAGTAAAATTGGAAGTAATCTCGCAATAGGCTCTGTTACAGAGTAGTGACAAGGATACAATATCTAAGGTCTTCAGCCTCCCTAACGCCTAACGTTTGTGCTAAACAACTATTAATTCAGTTGTGCACACCATTTGACTGCGTCTGTTTTGCTGTTGGCCATTTACCCGCTTTACCTACAGTAACTTGGATGCGGACGCAATCATCTTACTTCAACACGTTCTATTTATTATCTGTGATCACAAAGGCACATGACGAGACGAAATATCGCTTGGTATGCACTTACAAGTTTAAACAATTACGCAATGGATGGTAGATCGTAAAACTGCTGTGGTTTTATAAATCACTGTGATAAGTGCCACATGTCACGTGTTTATAAATTGAACACTTGCAACCTTTTTGTTCCAGTTGCTCTTCAGCTAATCACAGAGAAGCAAGTGATATAATAGTAGCTAATGTAACGTGTCGGGTCAGTTGGCCGTCTTGCACCATAATATATAACTAGATCCTTGTCAAAGAGAAACAAGTAAATTTTGGTTAGTGATTATTCGCTCGCCATTTTTTTAAATTTTATGCCTCCTAAAAATAGATTTCGCAGCTTGTATAGGGTCGATATATGATTTTTATCGATTGGTCCTACACACCACCATTCTTACATTGACAATGCAGCATCTAAAAGAATCCGCACGAAATTGATAGATTCTATTTAGATTCGTCGGATTCAAGTATCCGTCAGCAAAGGAGATGTTCATGGCTTTGTAATTGATAGCGCACGCGCTTAAAT